GACTTGGAGTCACTGCTCAGCACTAATTTGAAAAACACAGGGCTACTGAAGGAAAGGGAAGAAAAGCAACACAGCAAATGTTTAGTATAAATTCCTAATACCACCACCTTCTCCAGCTCGCATTGTCCAAAAGGCCTCTGTCTGGAGCTGAGCAGATCTCACAGTGAGAGCACAAGCCAGCCAGGGACTGGCTGGTCCCCAGGAGGGGAGCTGCCTCTCTCCTTGAACTTCCTCTACCCTTGGCCACTTCCCTGCTCCCCTTCCTTCTGGGCACCCCTGCTAGGTGCACTCTGGGTCCCGGTTCTTCTGGCTTCTCTGTAAAGGCCAGCCACCCCTCCTGGCAGGGCACTGCCCTACCCTTCAGGCACCAGTTGTAATGGCCATGCTGTTTGTGGGTTTCCTTCAGCCCCTGGGGCAGGGCAGTGGTTGGTGTGGCTCACAGAGGGGTGGGAGCGTTGGCAAGCTGCCCCCCACCCACCACGCTGCAGATTGGGCCTTTCACACTCAAGGATTCCTTCAGGTTGACAGCAGGGAGCCCTGCTCTGTGGATGCCTTTTCTAACCTACCACCAGCCCATCCTCACCCCCTTCCACCCAGAGACACAAAACTCAGGGCCAGCAGCTTCTGGGCAGGAGAGTTTTTAAGATTTTGTTTGAAAAAGAAAGAGAGAGCATTAAGATTATTAGGTTTTTTTTCTTTTTGGAATGAGAATAAAGTGCATTCACAAATAAACTATATTTAGATGTACATTTAAAAAACTGTATATCTGGTAATAACCAGCTATGTACATACAACCAGTTGAAGACTATAATTTTGACGAATGAAAAAAACCCATGAAAGAAAAATGCCAAAGCACAGGAAGAAAAAATGAGTTAACAACAGAAAAACAGGGCGGTAAATGCTGAACTTCTGAGATTGCGCAGTGAGGGAACACTTCATTTGTCAGCCTCCTGTCCAGCCTAAGTCCAGGCCACTGGGAGGGAAAAATGCAGTGGTCTGCGTGCTCGCCCTCAAAGAAGAGAGCGGGTTAGTAATGACAGGACCTTGGACCCCAGCAGTTCCCAAGCTTCTGAACTGCTAAGGAAGTTAGCTTGCTAATGTCCCTGTTTGCCCTGGGTCTGGCTGCTGTCGCTGTCCAGATCCGAAAAACACGGATGAGCAGGGCCTGTGTTCAGGCACTTTGCCCCAAAGACTGGGCTGTTTCCATCATTTCCCAAAGGAAGTTCATGTGGCACTGTGTGACACTGAGCCTAACGTGCGCATCCATTCCTGCCCTCCTCCCAGGCTGGTGGCTCTCTATCTCACTCACCATGCTCACCCACTGCACTTCCATGATTGGTGCATGGACAGAAACCCCGAGACAATGAGGACCACCAGCCGTACAGTCATTTCAGGAGGGTAGCACCTCTGTACCTGTGGGCACAGCTGCATCCACCCATGGAGCACATGCCCCTCTTAGGACAGGACCCTCTTAGATACCAAAGCAAAGTTGAGGCCTGAAAAAAGCCCTCAATGACCTTGCCCAAAGTAGCAAAGTGATAGGTGTCAAAGAACCCCAGAACAACGGGGTCGTTTCCCCAATGGTCCCTCTATCACAAGTAAAAAGCAGCTTGGCTTCTGGTCATAGGGACTGTGAAGGTGATCCTGATAATCAGGGATCTTTAAGAAACAGTCCTCCTAGGGCCAGCCGAGTGGCTTGGTTGGTTAAGAGTTTGCTTAAGAGAACGAGCTCTGAGCAACAGGGTCACTGGTTCAATTCCCACATGAGCCAGTGAGCTTCGCCTGAGCTGCGCCCGAGCTGAGCTGCCACTGAGCTGCCAACAGGTGGCAGGATGGCTCAGCAGGTGAGAGCACATGCTCCTAATGACAAGATTGCCTGTTCTATGGTGGGCTATGCCCACCCGCGGCTGGGACTACACTCAGCACCTTGAGCTGAGCTGCTGCCCGGATGGCTGTGGCTAGAGCAAGCACTCTTAACAGCAAGGTTGCTGATTCGACTCCTGCATAGAAAAAAAAAAAAAAGAAAGAAACAAATAGTCCTCCTCATGGGAAAACAACTGCCTTGGGAGGGGCTGCCTCCCGAGCAGGGTCTGCATCAGTGACACTGGCTCTTCTATAGCACAGGAACTCAGGATCCAGCCGTGTGAGGACAGGGGCCCATGTGAGGACAGGGGTCCATGGCAGGTCTCGTAGCCATGGCAACAGCAGTGCCAACATGGAGGGCCTCAGCCCAGAATGCTGCATGCTTGACACTTACGGTTGCTGATCCAGATTTAACCCAACACGTGATCTCCAAAGTCTCCCAGGAAGGGCTGTAGTATAAAAAGGAATCAATGGCTTCAAAATATAACCTTTCAAGGGTCAGGTGGGGGGTATAATACACCTACAGAAGTTGGAATTACATTGGAAATTACATTTCCTTACACAATGAAGAAGTGGAACACAGGTCCATGTTTTTAACCCCCTGACTTCCTCCTACTTTGGAATGTATTGGTCATTAAATGGGCAACAAAGAGTTTAGAATGAGGCCCTGCACCCCTCAAACATACACAGCTCTGAATGCAGGGGAGTCAGAACGTACATGCAGGATGCAGACAGGGTTTTGTTAATAAACAGCAAAAAGGATAAGACACACAGGCGTGTGACAATACACCACAGGAAGCCCAGGTACAGGGCTAGGAGGAGAAAACGTGCAAGAGTCACAGAAGCCATCTGGACTCAAGGTTTAACCCTCTGTCGGGCGCAACTGATCTCACAGATTCACTGCACACAAATTTTCAAATATCTAACAGTTAACTTAAGTATTGTGACTCATTGCTTCCGTATCTTCCCCCTCTACATAACCTATTGCCAGTCGTGTCTGTGATTTAGTACAGTAAAGACGTATTTCGTATTTGAAAATTGGTATGCAATGAATCTGTGAGATCAGCTGGGCACGACAGAGGGTTAAGAGATAAGGACAAAACAAGGTGCAAAACCTGTTTTAGAGAAACAGAACATTGAATAGACAACAGAACCAGGTGCAGACCAAGACAGGGATGGACATGGGAACAGGACGAAGAAGCTGATTGGTCAGAAAAGGCTTCCCAGCCACAAGGAGGTTTCCACAGAGGGCGATTTCTTCAGGCCAAGAGGAAGGGCCTCAAGCAGGGAGCCTGACAGCCCAGAGCATCCTGGACACTGCCCTGGGCTCTGCAGGCTGGGAAGAGAGGCCACATGGCAGGGGCGTCTGAGGAGGGACCCTCACCACGGAGAAGCAAAGGGACAGGCCAGGAGAGGTGGCGGAAAGTCACAGGAGTGCTGGAACCTGGGCACCCGCCAGCAAGCCCTCACTTCCTCCCTCACCAGGAAAGGGGGAACTAGGAAGAGCCTACATCAATGTTCTTCAGCCCCACCAGGCCAGAGTGCTGATGAGAACGCAGCGGGGCCGACCCCTCCAGATGGAACTACTCCCGTCACTGCAGGAGAGCATTCACAGCCCTGCTACAACCCAGCACACACACCGCACTTGAGATGGGCTCCAAGAGCAAGGTCTGCGAGGTCCAGCTTCCTTCCACGGCTTGGGGCAGAGTTCCCAGGTCCCTACACACCCTGTCCTCCCAAACTCCCAGAAACAGGGAGGGAGAACAGAAAAGAACTCCCAGCCCTTTGTTCCACGTGTTTCCACTACAGGTCGAGCACTTGATGAAACCACTGAGGCTTCGAGCTTCCCTGCCAATCTTATCAGCCTTCTCTGACAGCATCCAATACACGGCTGTCACTTTAAGATTCAACTCCTGCTGCAGTAAAATTAATCCCAAAAGAGAAAAACAGGTTGGAGAATGAGAGGTTAACAATGAATTCATTGTGAAAGCTAAGCTTTCAGCTGGATGAATTCTGACTGAAATACTGCCGACACACACACATACACAGCCGTCTGCACACAGCCTCTCATCAGCTCTCTCCACGTGGGCAGGCCTGCCACCAGCTCCACAAACATGCAGAGGACATGGACCTCCAGAACAAACTTCTTCTTTATTTAATTTTTATAAGATTTTACTCCAGCTAAACTGACATGCTGAAAAGCAAGATCTCAAATGCTCCTGGAACAAACTTCTTGACATCAAAACACGCCTGTAAATGTTTTGATTCCCTGCAGGCTGCAAGTGGATTTCAAGCCCAGTGGCCGGTGCAGAAGGCATGCGATCCTGTCTGTGGATGGAGGAGGTAACTGGCCCATCAGGAACTACGTGCCCACCTTCATCAGGCCCCCCGGAAACCCTCCTGATGGAAAGCACACCTGCGTGTCCTTCTGTGGGCTGTGCACCCAGGCATGGACTGCTATGTCACACTTGTTCACCTTTTCTACACACACACTTTTAAGTGCTGGCCGTTCTCGTGTCTGTGGACCTGGGTATAATCCAACTATTTAAACGAAACCTGACTCAGTTGCTCTCATAAGATACTTGAAGGCCACAAACAAATCCTTTGTAATAAACTTTCTCTCTTGACACATTCAAAACAGCTTGGAATTTCTTGGTGTAAAAATTTCAGTCTAAATCAGGAAATTTTTCTAAACTTTAAGAGGATGGAAACAGACTTTGTGCAACTATATGAACTCAACCAGCATCAAGCACTGAAAACTGATTCCAAGAACCATCACGAACCCAACAGGCCTTTCTCCTCTAAGACACCAGCATCAGAACACATCCCCCACTACTCTTGAGAAAATGTACTCTGCCTGGCAATTCAGCTAGAGAGGATACAACAACCGGCTCTGATACTCAATTTTTTTCAAGGATCTGGTGTCACACTGAACAAGCAAAGGATGTGATCCGGTTACAGAACAAAGTACTACTGTAAAGGCCTGAACGATACTTGTCCAAAACTTAGTTTCCACACCAGCACTTTCTCCCCGGTGAGCTGCCCTTTAAACCTGCCTTCAAAACAACTGTGCTCCGCACCCCGGTGGCCCGCTGTCATCACAAGGAAGGCATGGAGTTGGCACCTAGTCCTCGTACCTGCTGAGGGAGTCGTTTCTGCATCAAGTGTCTTCAGCAGCGGCTCCTTGCTTTAGCCAAAGTCCATTTCCACAGAAACACCCCTTCGGACGGGCAAAGTGGACCGCCAGTGACGCTTCTCCACACACCACCAACTCAGGAGGGAAGGACCTCGCTGGCTCCTCTCATTTCTGCCGCACTTCCCAGTTCATCATGCACTTGCCCCACAGGCACCCATACCTAGCATCAGGCGGCTCAGGGGACAAGGGCACAAATTCAAGGGGGTGGGGAGAGCACCCAGGAGCCACCTTTTCCTCCTCCCCAAACTGTGCTGAAGCCAGGCCCCACATCTCCATAGGCTGCTGCCGTGATCCCCCCCCTTGTGAAAGCCATGTCAAAGCGGAGAACAAACCTACACTTCCAGCTCCAAGCTTGGGGACCTCACCTCGCCAGCTCTGAACTCAGCTCAGTAACTGCTGTAGGGGAGACACGGGGACAGAAATACATCATGCTACACGAGGCCACATGAGGAGGAGCTACCCTAAGGGACAGCGAAAATCAGAACCCCCTTCTTTCCATGTTCTCCACCTTCCCCACCCCCTTCCAGCATGTGGAGCCAGCCACCTTTGCAAACACATGGCCACGCTCAAGTTGCAGGGAGCCACTCTGCCTAATCGCCAATTTTACCCTTAACAAAATCATTGCACAGTTCTGTTCTCCAAAGGGAGGATTCAAGCCTCACCCATTCAGAATGTCAGCCCTCGAATCAGGATGAACCAGCGCCTCTTTCCAAACAGCTGCTTTCTGACAGCGTGAGGCTCAAACAGGCTCCAGGGGTCACAGAGTTCAGCCATCTGCCCAAAGAAATAAATAAGCGTGCTGTCCGTCCATGGGAACACGGCCCTCCTGCCTCCAACACAGTCAGGAC